CTCTCTCTCTCTCTCTCTCTCTCTCTCTCTCTCTCTCTCTCTCTCTCTCTCTCTCTCTCTCTCTCTCTCTCTCTCTCTCTCTCTCTCTCTCCACGGACACAGTCGAACCGTAGACGGCATGTATGAGAATCCAACCATAATGTGAAGTGTTTTGGCCAGACCCTTAACCCTAAACCAGTTTGCAAATTGTTGATGTGGACTTGTTTGGGTGTGTGCAGTGCAGCACACCAGCGCTTCGATAACAGTTAACGAGAACTATGACTGTGATGTACTCAAGGATGTGGAAACATTTCTGAGCACAACAGTGCCTGAGGTACAGTATCAAGAATCGTTTTTTTCTCTTTTTTTTTTGGGTTTCCCTCTCTGCATTTCTGAAAGGAATTGTGCTGGCCTGCATTATTTCCACTCGCTCGCCCCTCGGTTCTGTCTCCAAGGACTCGAACTGGTGATCCATGGATGAAAGCTTAGGGCATACTCACCCTTGAACTTTGGTGAAATGTTTTCCATGATGGGGATAGTATTTTGTCAGCAGACATTGACATTGCAAATGTAAGCAGCTTTGGTGCACACACTGTACCATCATCCCAAGGCATTACATTCCATTGCATCCTACACAGACTAGTAGCAAGCCAAGGAGGAGCATTCATTAGAGCGAAAGGAGGGAGAGCAGAAGACTTTAGTATGGATTAGCAATAGCAACCATATGGGGCATAGCGTCCTTGAACCACCAGTACATCCGGGCGTCTATTTGTGGAGGTGGTTCCTCCTGAGTGGCAAGCTTTGTCGAAGTGCGAGTGGGGCACGCTTTTTCTGCCGCCAGCCATTTGGTCCCGTAGGCCCGAGCCGCCGAAATGTTTGGATTAGCTCAACGAACATCGATTTTCAAGTTTGCTGGGCAATGTACTGGCGGTGAAAGAGAGATGGGAAAGATGTTGGAAGGGAGCAGATGGCATGGTAGCCATCAGCAAGATGATGGCATAGTAACCATCCATCTCGGAGGGGTTGTGCATTGCTTAAGTGCTTTTCACCGCTGGGTGAGTAAACCTCTGGCTCTGGCAGAGAAGAGAGGAGGACGGTGGGTGGCATGAGGGGAGGGCATGGAAGGGGGGGAGGGGAGAGAGCACAGGACAAATGTCTTGCCAAGTTGTTGTTGTTGTCAACGTCTGAGATTGCATCCGCTGCGTTGATGGCCACGACTGCTTGACAGTGACACGCATGGTGTCCGTTAGGCTGCAGGTGTGGAGTTCCACAGTGAGACGGCTCTCCGATAAAGTGCCTCCCTTCATGAAGGTGCACTGAAAGCCTCTGTCGCTGACAAGTCGGTGAGGCGGCACGGTCACAAAACAACATGCCTCGTTGTGAAAACAGGCTATGACCGAGAGTACGCTGCAGACTAGCAGTGAGGAGGCATAAATAGTAGGAGTGGGAAGGTAGAGAATGGATGCAGAACACACGATCCTTCTCGAGCAGGTTGAGATGTGAGGAAGAGCTTGCAGGATGTGAGAGATATATAGTTCTGTTAACTGTGTTCTTTTGCATTGGCTAAGGATAGAAGGGGGGCTTGCACGTTAGGATAGGAGGTATACTCCTGTTCAGTTTTCTTCAGATCTTCAGCTTTTATTTAGTATCTTCTCTTAATGATGCTCCTTCATATGCATTTATTAGTAGTACACAAGGAGAGGGAGGAAGGAGAGGGGTAGGAGGCGGAGTTTTATAGGAAGCGAGAGGTGGGAGAGAGAGACGGGTGGAGGAGGGAAGTGGAGTGGCAAAGACCAGAACAAAGGAATGACAAACTTCACAGGGTTCTCGATACTTACCACTGGAGAAGACTACTCTAGAATGACACGAGAGGTCAGTTAGTGTTTGGTGTTGGAGGAGATTTTGAGCTGAGGAGCGGCCATCGCCTATGGTAAGTGGCCACCCCTACAGACCGGACAGGACCGGTTCGGGTGTGGACTGTGGAAGCACTGCATCCAATTCTCACAGTTGCAGTTGCTGCACCGAATGGCACAGTGTAGACAAATGTCACAGGCTATGTGGCTCCTACATGCTAGGAACACGGAGGCACGCCGACCGCATTTGTATAGGTATTGTCATTCCAGGCCCTGTGAGATGTCAGGGTGCCGTACATGAGTGCAATGTTGACTGACATCAGACATAGGAAAACAAAAACTTGCATGGACGATGCCTTCATAATCCTAATGACACAAGCCATGCGATGCAAATCACACGGTAGCCAAATCTCAAATGGGCCATCACAGAGCGGCATTGCGCAAGCTTCTTGGGTTTCCACACTCATCAGTTCGTCTTCATGGACACACGACGACAGGGACCGATCCAAAGCAAGAGTGTATAGCTGTTACAGGATTTGGTCGGCAACAGCTCGCCCTGGTGGTGATAATCTATCAGTACATATGGTGGTATATTTTCCTCCTCAGGCCGCTGCGTCGGTTGTTTGTCTGGTGAGGATGAAGAAGATCCGACTGCGGTTGCAGCAGGCGTATGTCCAACGCTGCATGCGGGACATGCTAGTAGAGGATGTGGTGGATGATGGCATCAGGGATAGTCCACGCAGTTGGAGACATTTTCTATGACAGCTCCCCAGAAACATTGATGACACATGGCATGTTGCTGACATGTCAGCAGGAAAGCAGACTGGCGCTCACAGTTATTTAATATTTAAGGATGGCATGGCAAGGCCACAACCACATGCTGGGCAAGTCATTAGGGGGTGGATGAGTAGAAGACAGCACCAGAGGCTGGCAGTTACCATCACTTCATAGTGCTCGGAGCAGAGACTTATCTCGTATGCATGCTAACTGAAATGTACCTGTGTGGAGAGACAATGGCTTGGTTGAGAGGCCCCTTCTCTATCTGTTGTCGAATCCGTCCTATCTACACAGGGACGAGACACTGCTTGGCCACTTACAGGGTACGAGGGAGGTTCAGGGGGATTGCCCTCTGGATGCTGTAGAGATTGTGAGTGCACATCCATATAATGTTCCTGATTGACCAGCCAGACCGAACGAGAGTCTGCCGCTTGGTGATAGAAAGAGTTAATATTTCCCCCGTTTGCACCCTAACCCCATTATTATTCCATAGAGTCCATGACTTATCCACAAAGGTAACAGCACTGAAATGACCTGGATGATGTAAGATGTATGCACAAATATTCGCGTCCATGTCTGGCATGTAATTCTATGGAGCGGGTTGGAGTTGTAGTCGGTCTTCCCATAAATGCCATAGAGAGGACTTGTGCATTCACGACTTCACACCAGCGCAGCACTGTCATCCTTTGGGCAGACAGCACGGCGCTCTTCTTCTATCCAGCGGGAAATGTCTGCAAAATCAGAAACAGTATTGGGATTGCAATTGTAAGCAACGAGACATACATTAATGGCATAGTACGCACAGTGGTCTTGATGCTCGGCGGGGGTTCATTGTGGGGCGAGGTGGTTGAGAAGTGGGGTTGGATGCAGGAAGCGGAAGATGATCAGCCGCACTTGTGCTCAGGGTGGCTGCTAGTCGTGCAAGTGCTGCACAAGTGGCTGCACCTCGTGTCTGGTGCACATGCAGGCCTGCAGCACTGAAAAAATCATTGCCACATTGTGGGCTTCGGACTCAATATGTCCTGGCTAGTGTATATTGAGAGCGGACGTTGTTCCGTTCGGTTACTAGCATGGCATCAGAGTTAATCTCTGACCCCTGCCCGAGGCGCGGTGATCATACTGTCCAAGGACAAAGAAGGCCGCTGTCTATGAGGCGGCGGTGGAGATGAGGAACGTCTCCGTCGAAGAGGCCTTTGTGACGGCCGACTTGATGATGGATGCCTCCGCGGATGAGGCCCTTGTATGTGGGAGGGGGAGGAGGAGGAGGAGAAGGAGGGAGGAGAGGACGAAAAGGAGGAAGAAGAGAAGGAACTAGTTGACAGAGGGGATGATGCAGTAGAAGATGCTGGGGAGCTGGTGGTGGTGGTGGTGGAGGAGGACAAGGTGGTGGTGGTGGTGGTGGCGGTGGGAGGAGGAGGAGGCACACTTTGAGCAGCAGTCGCGATATTGGTAGGATGCAGGCCATCATCCCTCGCAGCCGCTTTGACAACATTTACATTCTGTTGCGGTTGGCCTGCTGGTCTCCAGCTGAGTTGTCGTATGCACATTAGCGTCTGCCCTTTCGGTAGGAATAACAGGAGAGGGTGGGCTTGCTGCGTTTGGCTGTGCGGAGAGGGCTGATGCTGCCTTTTTTCAGAATTGGTGTTTCGGGAGTGGATGGGGGCCCATTGCGTGTGGTTGTACGGAGGGCTGATGCTGCCTGGCGGCAGAATGAGCATTCAGCAGTGGGTGAGCAACTGCCAGCTCACCATGCGGCGAAACCAGTTGGAAAGCCGTGTGACTTGAGTGGGTAGCTGACGCTGCCGGCCACGCACATATGTAGTCCAGCCTCTGGCCAGGACACTGTTTCGTCGGACTTGCACTGACTCATAAGGAGGCTGAACCCTCGACAGTCTGCAGGATCCGCTCACAATGCTACGAGTCAGAATGAGCTCCAAACCCTGTTCCTTTCTTTCTTTTTCTGCCCTTTCTCTTTTTTTTTTCCTTTTATTTTTTTTGGAGATAGACAACCCCTGTTCCGAATGGGCAAACACAGGAAAGCATGCTATGCAGCATGGACATCGCAGCATATCGCAAACTCAAGCAGGCAGGCAGCAAGGAGGCTAGCTGATGCGAAGGCGGACGGGAGGGTGGGCACACATAACAGAACTCGGCGCTCAACATAGTATGCATTAGATACACAACTACAAAGGTCGACACTCAGCATAGTATGCATTGGACAGCACACAGCAAGCCAACAAAGCAGCAGAGTATCTCAATGAAGCAAACTGCCAAGGCAGAAGGGCAACAAAAAGCATAACGAAGCGAACCACCGAGGCAGATGTGTAGCAAGGCAGCGAGGCAGCAAGGCAGCAAGGTACCGAGGCAGCACGACAGGAAAGCAGCAAGACAGGAAAGCAGCAAGACAGCAAGGCAAGGCAACCAGAAGGGCAGGACGACGAGCAGCAAGGGAACAAGGCAGCAAGGCTGCAAGGTAACCAGCAAGGCAATGAGGCAGCGAGGCATTTGGCATCAGTCCATAGAGTGGACTCCATATTAACAAACGACCAAAAAAAAAAAAAAAGAGGGTGAAAGTGTGAGGCAAAAGTGCACTTGACTGAAAAATTGCGTTCAGAAACTTCAGAGAATTTTCAGCGTTTTTTTGGAAATGGTCACCACAGACAATTCCAATGGACAAAAACACTTCAGAATATTAAGAAATGGTCACCACACACAATTCCAACAGTCCAAAAAAAAGAATCCCAAAAAACCAAAAAAATGGCCAAAAAAACCTGATTTCAGCAATGAAACAGTTTACCCCGTTAACCACTAGCGCACGGTAGCGAGGCAGCAATGCAGGGCAAGCAGCAGTGCAGCGAGGGAACAAGGCAGCAAGGTAAGGCAAACAGAAAAACAGCACAGCGAGGGGAACAAGGCACTGGGTGGCAAGGCAAGCAGGCAGGCAGGACAGCTAGAACACGTAGCAACACAGAAACCGATGAACTCAGCAAGGAACAAAGAGGACTATCACCCACTCACATCATATGGAAAACCCAGCACACCGTAGGGTCATGCCACCATCGAGGGGCAGAAGCCATCCGGCTATCACCACCACAAAGCACAAGACAAATGCGTCCAGAACACAGCCAACCCAATTGTGTTGCAGGCACTCTGTACAAACAGGGACTGACTATTTGGCACAACTTGAAGGTGCTAGACTTCGGTACTTCGAAAAAACATGGGAAAGTGACAACAAACATCGAGAGGACTCTTAGGAGAACTATAAACAGGAGTTATCATAAAAATAACAATAAAGTTGAATAACCATACGAGTGTGTGTCACTGTATCCATAATTCAAGTTGAATAGCTTTACTTAAAAAGGGAAAAGCGACCTGTGGATGTGCTTATCATTTGTGTGTGGTAATAGCGAGGTGTTGCTGTTGTTGTGTTTGTTTCATGCTGTCAGGGAAGGAGCGCACCGTGGCGGCACACAATGGAAGGTGTGTATTCAGTGGTATTCACCATTTGCATATTGAATGGCAAATTGTTTGTTTGAGTATGCAGGCTTGGGATGCTTGATGGTTATGGGATAGAGTTAATCAGCGAGGAAGTAGTGATTTTTTTGAACTGAAGTCTCGTCAGTCTGACATGCGCTTCATGGCACAATAAGGGAGAGGGAAAAAGGGGGCGACGACTGCCGTGTATGTATGATTGATCAGTAGAAACATGGGATAGAAAAATGTTTCCACATCCCTAGCCTTCTGCTAAAGCGTCATTGTCGTCCGCTTTGGAATCTGAAGCAGAAGGCTAGAGATGTGGAAACATGTTTCTCTTTCTTAATTTCTCCATTTGTGGGTCAATGCAAATATGGAAGTATACATTTTTAATTTTTTTTTTAAAAGAAGAAGGATGGGTATGAGTCTGTATGATTGACATGCTTGTAAAATACCTGGATCTGTGTCTTCTTGTCGCTTGAGAACTCTATCCGTGTGTCTTCTCGTCTTTACCTCTTGACCGCCATTTGAGGACTGTTTGAACTCTTGATTCTTCGAAGAGATCACGTGGCTTCTCTCTCTCTCTCTCTCTCTCTCTCTCTCTCTCTCTCTCTCTCTCTCTCTCTC